TAAAAATATGGATTGTTAAAGCATAAATCTCTGTAGTTGTGGGCTTTTGAGATAGCTCCCTGCTTGAAATATATGGTAAAACAAACACGTTAACAAACGTTGTTCAATACGTACTATTACGTCGCGTTACGAGGAGACGTTATGGAGGGATCAAGAAACGCATCAGACCCATTGTTGACCCCATTATTGAATGTCCCGACATACGTTTTTCAGAGCAGTGATGAAACATAGAAAACAAGTCGCAAAATTTCAGGTAAAGGTCGTATTTTTAAAAAAATGTTTTAATTATTGGCAGGTTAAAGAAAGAATTAAATCGAGGAATTCCTGCTGAAAAATAGCTTCCTACATTTTAGAACAAAAGCGTACATTCAAAGTCGCGGAAAATCGTATTAGCTTCAAAATTTCTAGCCTTCTTTAGTTTGTAATTTGTATTTATGAAAATGCAATACAGAATACAATATTTCGCGAATACTTCAGAAAAGTGCGAGGTTGTGGGAGGAGATTTTAGCTTTGAAACCCAAGCTTCGAGTTTACTACTAATCAAAACGCGGGAAGCATTTGAATAGAAGGCTAGATATAACATTCTTTTTCAACAAAAAATCGCATACGAATGGCATTTTGCCGATAAAATGTTCCTTTAGCAAATTAAGATTTTACAAGACAGCAGTTTTGAATTTCAATTGTTCTTTTAAAAATGGAATTGAACGTGTTGTGAAGTTTTTACTGTCGTTTTACGGCCATTTTTATACCATTAGAGTCGGAGCTATGTAAGCACGTGAAGGAATAGCTCAAGCTCAAACAAAAGATACTAACCAGAAATGAATGTTTTCGGCAATGCAGTAAATCGAAACATATATTTTTGAAATTTGAAAAATTAGGTTATGATTTTTAAAGACCCGAGACTGTTTTTATTTGCGCTCCCAGTTTCGACAAAATACTAGAATTCATGAATTTTATCCAATTCTGGCAATAATGAAGAAGCCATAGTTTTTATCGAGGGCACGCAATTCCATTAAATTTTTCTAGATAGTTTTTCTAGAATTTTCAGCGCCGGGATTAAGCTCGCGATGCTACCGAATTTCCGGAAATTAGGGTTGGCTTTTTTAAGGGGACGGCATCGGCAATTTTTCAAAGTAACGCAATAAAATATACATGCAAAAACCAAAGCTCAATGTCGACGAATTGGCCAACAATTAATTTATTTTCATCCATCAACAAGCGAAACGTATTTTTTTGGAAAGATTTGAAAACTTTGCAACCCTTCGAGGAGCCCCTTTTTCCTTACGATGCAATTTTTTTCTGATATAAATAGGGGAAGGGTTTATAAGATGATTTTTATGATTTCCAAATGCCAAAATCGTTAGGATTTGTATGAAAAATACAACATAGCGACTTTTCGAGCAAAAATTTAGGGTTTTGAAATGGGTTTTTGGGACTTTAGATGGTTTTGCGCCACTTGAAATATAGCCAATTTGACTTTTCAAACACTCACTGTTACACTAGACTTTTGTGAACCTACTGCAAAAATTTGCGATGACCTGCTATAATGTTAAAGAGCTCTGACTTCATAAAAATTTGAGGAAATTTGGATTCATAAGAAAATTTAATAATGATTTGAATAAGCGTTTGATCAGCCATTTTACGTTGTCTATCTTTAAAGGTACAGTGACAAGGGCACTCACTGTGGTTTTTTACAGTACAAGCGGAAAACAGTACAATTTGCGATTAGTGCCGTAGTAATTCATCTGGAAGTCTGAGTAAGGTGTAACACGCTTTTTAGCCACGCCAGAACTGGTGTCCTAAAATTCTTCGTTAACATACGAAAAAGTGCCAGGATGTTTTTAGATTTCCAAATTGGCAAAATTTGCGGGAAATATTAAATAAAAACAATAAGTTAACGGAAACATGATTGATTAGCTCATGCTCGCTTTATTCTAATGTAGTGCAGTCAAAACACATTTTTTTACTTTAACAATCTTGTGGTAACTAAATATCGCACCAACTGACCAATTTTAGGGGTTGAATTGTGAGACACGGTTTTTTAACACCCAGTTTAGAAATCGAAACATGTCCGAAGATCGATTGCTCTACCAATTCTGAAGCTGATGTTGATAAGGTTTAAAACACACCTTTAACGGGCTGCAAATGCAAAATCCCGAATCCCAGGAGCCACACGAAGAAATTGGCGGCCAAACCACGTAGCGCTTAATTGAGGCCACAGTCGGTGATTAGCGATGGATACCCTATGATTTTTGGAAATTTTTGCCGCGTCGTGTGGGGACTTTTTGATGCTCATTGGGTGCTTTGAAGTACGAGTGAAGGTTTGGGATGCAATTAAAAAAACTGGGGGAGCCAATAAAAAAAGCGCAGGGACTTGAGTCGTGTCTGACTCAGGATTATCATTGAAAAGATTGGATCAAAATACGGTGTTTACTCAAAAATAGCCCCTCCGAAATTTATCGAAAATCGGATTAATTATTCTTCAAACGCGGGGCAGGCTTCTGTTTCGGCTATGAACTTCAAGATCTGAAAAAATCGGTAAAATTCGAAAATTTCTGACTTTTTGTTCAAAAATGTATGCTAAATAATCAAAAAAGGCAAAAGTTCCAAAATTCGCAAAATAATCGCAAAATATGTATATCGCCCTCCCTCTAATACAAATCCTACCCCTGGCGCGAGTGACAAAAATAGGACCCTTGGATTTCGATTCGGGGAAATACCGTAAAAAAACGATCGTGTGCCGTATTACCACTTCCATCGGTATGCCTGTAGAAAACAATGAAACCAACGTTCAACGCGGGGGGATTAGAAAACTAGCGCTGCTCCGAGAAGCAGCTTTCCAAAATTTAAGAGCTCCTTAAGGAATACTCTGTTACTACCAACCTCAAGCTTGGTGGAATAACTTCCAAAGACGCTGACCGACAACGCGATTCATTTGGTACTAGTGGGCCAGGTGGGCGTCTTTCGTGAACTTCCCGCCCAGCCTGCTCTCACACCTTGCCTAATGATGTTGCCAAGATACGCTACGCGTGCGTACGGACTTATGTACGCACGCGTATTTCAGGTAACGTAGCATACATATCAAATCCATTGTTGCTTTGCCAGTACCTTTAAAGGTAGGTTTTTACGGCTATCCATTTCCCCTCAATTTGACGTGTCCGCTGCCGCGTTGCGTATCGCGTGCGTGTAGAACTTCAGAAGGCACCACAGGTTACCCATCTCCTTTTTGCGTCAACAACAGCAACATCTCCAGATTACCGGAAAACACGGAACGTGCAGGGGAAGTTCAAAGCTGCTGATAAGATTTTTGTAGCTGGGCCTCCAGAAACGAGGGCTTTGACCTCACCACCATTCGAATTCCATTAAAAAGTCTAGCCAGGTCGCGGGGGTCGGAATTTCGGGTTTTGCTGCAATCCACCCATTGCACGACAGGCCCTTATCTTCATTTCGGTACGTAAACTTTCGGGGGGCCTATATAGCCTGAGAGAAGCCGGGGGAATTCCCCGCTCGAATTTAGGCCCACAGGATTTCTGGTGGGCCTAAAATTGCCAAAAGTCTGGAATTTTTGAGATCGGATTTTTATTGAAACATTTGATTGATCATCCGATTTTGCTAGTTTTTTTTGTGTGCTATATGTCATACCGAGCTCTTCGATTATTGCGAATATGCGGATGGAAGAGACACAATGCTTCCACCAAAGTACAAGACGATTATACACAAAGTTGAAACATTTGATTTGCCATTATTTTTGCTGTTGTTTCTGATTCCATAAAATTTTTGGCTAGTCTACTCGATCGCTAACCTAATTTTTTCGGGCTCCCAAAGAACCTTTGCTGGCCTGCTAGTCGGCGAAAAAGCAAGCGGTTCAGCTCGTTCCGTTATTCTCCTCATTGAAATAAGAAGCTCCACCTTTCTTCTGCAATTTCATGAAGCATTATTTGTTTTTAATAAGTGTTGGGGTTTTAATGACTGTTTTCTCAAAAACATCTATTAAGTACAATTAGGCGACCGATAAAATACCTCACAATTAGTACAGTTATTACACCACAACCAGGCTGGTTTTCATCGAATTTGCGCCAAATTGTGACTGTAAGAATTGCCCATGCCATTTTGAGATTGACCGATACGGAAAACATTGTGTGAGGCTCGTGCATTAAATTCACGAAATTTATTCCGGCAATTATAATTTATTAAACATTTTGACGTTTTCTTAAAAACAGTTGCCGGATTCAGGTCGCTATTTTCTATAGCTTATGCTGAAGCACAATTTTTTAAATCCGCGAAAATAATTTTTTTTGTAAATCCGCCTTCAATAATGCCGATTCGCCTAATCGACAAGCCTGTTTTTGGCTTTAATCGGTGAGTTCCAGATGCCTGAGTTTCCATTGATTGAAAGCCACACACTTGGTTATGTATTTTAGCTGAAACACATCTCCGAAAAAGTTTGAGAAATTCTGATTGCTTAGATGAATCTTGTTTATGTAAATTCTTTAATTTCTGTCTGCATCGCATAGGGTTAATTTTCAACTCGACGCATATCTTATCAGATGGAAAAGGAATTTTAGTATTTATTTGCTTTACCACTATTTTTGTCGGGGGGAAGCTTGGAAACTACGGTAAAAGCATTAAGGAAAATGAGTGTTTCAGGTGTTTTTAAGAGAATCTGAAGCAGGGTGAGTTATTTAGATCTCCGAAGTAGCCTTTTATTTTTATAAATTTTGTCTGTTTGATGTTCTCTTCTCCTCGCTAACCTTTAATCAAATAACACTGCAAATTTGCATCGATTTTTTAGAAGCCATTTTTAGAACTTCCTTAGCAGTAACTTTTTGAATTAGTTTTCTTTACTCATATCGTTTTTCGACCATTTTTGATGAGCTATGATAATTTCCGATAGACAGGATCGAATATTTTCAATGATGTTTATATTATAACTTATTTCTATTATTTAAACAGTTCATGTAAATTTTTCTAGTATCAATTCTTCTCTGTGTCGCCTAAAAATGGACTCGGATTGGCTGAAAATAATTCTGTTGGTGGTGATGACAGTGCTATCGGTGTTATTTGGCGTGCTGCCAATAAAGGTATTGTATACGGTAGTAGCGTTAAAAACTACAATTTAAGCTGAGCTCCAAGCTGAAGGAACTTTCGCACCGAGGAGCAATGCGGAGTCGAAGTAATTATTTCCCAAACTAACAAGGAGACGTTTTTGAGTGTCGTCGGGACTTTGGCACGGGACCAAGTCTATCTTGTGCAGAATTTTACGCTGATTCCGAATATGGTAACCGTTTTTGCGGAATAGCCATTTTTCGAAAGTTATGAACGATTTAAAACTCAAAACAGCCCAAAATCGGCTACTTTCGATAGTCATAAAAGACTTCGGAATAGGTTTTAAACAAAACTTGAGTGTGCATCTTGTTTAGAAAAAAATTCTCTATAAAATGTACCATCTTTTTCAAAATCATTGAAAAGTTGGAAAAATTTGATAAATTGGGAGGTCCATAATTTTACAAAAATTTTCAAAATTCCAGCATTTTTGAGTTAAGTGGCTTATTTTATAGAGAATTTTTTTCTGAACAAGATGCACACTCAAGTTTTGTTCAAAACCTATTCCGAAGCCTTTTATGACTATTGAAAGTAGCCGATTTTGGGCTGTTTTGAGTTTTAAATCGTTCATAACTTTCGAGAAATGGCTATTCCGCAAAAACGGTTAACAGATTCGGAATCAGCGTAAAATTCTGCACAAGATAGGCTTGGTCCCGTGCCAAAGTCCCGACGACACTCAAAAACGTCTCCTTGTAAGAGCTACAGCGAATTTCTGGAAACGTTGCAAAAATGTGTTTCATAAATTACTAGCCTCTCAGAAAGAAATGAAGTGAGGATTCCCAGCGGAGTGGCATTTTATTATTCGGAAAAGTCGGTTTTGGGATTGCAAAATAGCATGTTACGCATTTTCCGGGCTTCCCGTCGAATCCAAATTGCTCAATTTTGAGAAGAACCGCTCTACCTCACTTTCTAACCGCTGATTAATTAAAAATTATAGCATATGCTTGGTCTAAAGTTTGGTATTTTAAAACTCGTCAATAATTGGTCCTAGTTTCGATAAATTGCGTTGCTTACAAGGAGTGCTTTTTTGAGTCATCGGCAAAACCTAGCTCATTCGATAAAGAATTCGATTCTGAACAAGACCCCGTTGTTCTTTTTTGCGGAATGGCTATCCCTGATTTTATAAAATTCAAAAACTGGTGACTGTCTCTTACCATTGGTTTCTTTCGAGCCAGTTGGGAATTCTGGGGTCCCATGGCCATGGCCTAGCTCCGGGTCCTATCCGCAAAACAAGAGCTCCGGGCGGGGGTCGAACCGGCATCCTACGGCTTTCGAGTCCGATGCTCTCCCTATTGAGCTACCGAAGCACGCCGAATGCCTCTCTCGGGGCAGCTATCCATGCCAGCCCCTCACATCCAAACAGCCAAAAGAGAAGCTTTTGGGTGCAATTTTAAAATTGCATAAAATCAAGGATAGCCATTCTGCAAAAAAGAACAACGGTGGTCTTGTTCGGCATCGAATTCTCTATCGAATGAGCTAGGTCTCGTAAGGTATTGCCGATGACTCAAAAAACGCACTTCTTGGTAGGTCACTATAAAAACATTGTTCGAAACTCGGGTCATTCTGTAGTGCAATGACTAGAAACATTCCTTTTTACAGGTCAACTGATCATCTCAGTAATCACCTGTTTCGCGGGCGGTGTTTTTCTGGGTGTCTGTCTACTGGACGTGCTGCCGGATGCACTGTAAAGAGTTTTTAAATTTTAATTGAACCATCGTCGAATTTTCTATGATTGGTGCTTTCGATTGTGCAAAAAAAACAACTAAATTATCATGCCATTTCAATAGCAAAATCAAAAAGGATGATCAATATATCATTCCATAAAATCAATAAAATTCCAATTTTATTTAATTAGAGGATTGATTTATTTACAATACAACTTTTGAGGAAAAACTTGAATTATCTATCCTTACACCATCATGAATTTAATTTTCTGATTTATGGTTTTTTTCTGAAACATCGCGAAAAACGGCGCGATAAACTCTGAAAAAAGCCATTATTGGAAGCGATTAAAATCCTATGATAGATGTAAACAAGTAGAAAAATGTATGCCTTAAAAATTGCAATCAAATTTATATATTGCAGCGATTCGTGGGAGAATGTGCAAAAATCGTTGGACTACAACACCGATTATCCCTTCGTTCCGCTGTTGTGCGGACTCGGGATTATGGTGGTATGGGTTTTTGAGGTAATTTTTAAGCTTTGCGATCTACACATTAAAGGTTTAAATAACACAAAAAATAATATAAATTTAGCCAAGCTAAAATGAAATCCAGTTGGCACCTTTTTTAAGATTGTTTTTCGAAAAAGGTTTTCTTTTCGAACATTTAAAAATTAAAAAAATTTGAATTGCGATAACGTAATTTGTTTATTTTACAAAAAAAACTTAATTATTTTAACAATGTTTTTTTTGTAAGATTGAACTATATCCCAAGTGGAAAAATTGGCTAAAAACCATAAAACTTTTTAAAAAACCGAAATTTTGTCGTAAAATCGATATTTTTCGTCGAAATAGTAATATTGTTTTCGAAAAATGGATATTTTCTTATTTTTTTAATAAAACTTTCTAAGCAAAATCCGGTTTAGCAAAAAATAAAAAGCAGCTTAGAAACGTTGCCCATATTTACATTCTAAAACGAGCTTCCAGGAAAACAAAAGCTGTTTCTTCCCCGATATTGCGAAAGTACCGTTTATTTTTTTCTGGGAATCAAATTGCTGGAGATATTAAAGAAATGGACGCTTCTTAGAATAACTTTGAATGTAAAACATTTTTCTAGGAATGTACAATCGTTTGTCACAATGTGGCCAATCGTCGAATCGATGCGAAAAGTATGGCAAGGTGAGTGTTTGTGATTGCATCCTAAAAATATAAAAATGAATTTAAAACACCGTAAAACGCTTCGAAATGCTTTAAAAATTACTAAGAAAATGACTACTTTGTAGAAATGAGAAATCGACGCTCGTAAACTCTCGGGATTATCTTTAATCGTAAATCCCTCATTTTTCGAAACATTCTTCATCATTCGCCTTTATTTCGTTTTCATTGCTTTTTGTATTTAAACGTAATTTTATTAGCTATTTACGCTTATTTTTCCAAAGTTTCTTTCGATGTAATCCGATTTTTCCGGCGCGTCGCAGGTTTTGGAATCCTACTATATATAAAAAAATAGTGTCTGTGTGTGTGTGTGTGTGCCACTTTGCATACAACTTCCGTCAGCGTGTTCCAGCAGTATCTCAATAAGGGGGGTAGTTAGGGGTATGTATTATACGTCATTAGGTGCGCACAGGCCTTGGGATGACTGCACACTAACAAAATTTTCAAAAATTAGCTGTTTTCGACGTTAAAATTAAGTTTTTGTTGAAAAAAGGAGGACCCTCTTTGTTAGGAAACACTTAGCATACGCCGGAAGTGGCGATAGCCTATATAAGGGAAGAGAGGTAGCGTTTTCCATTTTTTTTGTCATCTAAAATGGCGAAAATCATGCAAAGTGAAGATTAGCATGTGATCCGACGGGGCCAGGGTTGAAAAGTCGCGAAGCGGCTTTTCAACCCTGGTTGACAAGAAATATTTGTAGTTCCCGGGACGAGGACGTTGAGGGTGATATATTGAGGCAACGAAAGGCTACGATCATTTCGAGGATGTCTTCTACGGTAACTAGTTAAGATTATACCAGAATTTTGGGTGGTTTTCATAACTTTTTCGCTTTAGAAGTTGTTGATAAAGATCATAGGTCAAAAAGGTGTCTGACAACGAGAAAAAGTACAAATTTGGCCGTGTTTTTGACAAGTCAAGTTAGGAGGAGTTTACTCTAATACATGGCATAACTTTTTAAAGCGCATGACCAAAAACTGCGCATCCAAATTGAACAAAAACAGTTGAAAAAACAAGGTTGTACCCACCTTTAAAGTTCCAAAGTACCGTAGAATATTAATTAATTGAGGCGTATAAAAAAATGGAAAATGGGTTTCATAAGTTTCCCTGCCTATGCTGGACGACCCAGAATTAATTCCCCGAGCTGCTAAAAGTGCGGTTTCAAGGGAAAATATTTGAGGGAGAAAACGTAACGTTTTGGGGTGAAGTCGACTGTTTGAGCCCGCTTGAATTATATGTCGTGAATTATTGTCCCTTAAAGCGCACGTTCAGGGAAGGGACTCGTCCCAACGTGTACACCCTATGGACGTTGGGACCGCGCGCGCAGCCTGCCCGTGCCGTGGGAGGCCTTTCCCCGCCTTTCCGGGGTGGGGCGCCCTTCGGCCCCTCACCAGGTTGCACCTGTGGCTGACTGGTATGCGACCGCGGCTCCCGATCGGGAGGCCCGGGTTCGACCCCCAAGCGCCTTTGCAGAAGACCTGAAGGCAAAAAGCATTCAAAAATTCAAATTTTAATTCAATTCAATTCAAAATCAACAAAAAAATACGGGAAAAATAAGTTTTCAACTATTTCTAAAACTCCGTAAATCCCGTAATAGATTAATGGATGGAGCGAAAAACGTGAGTTTCACAATTTCCTGCGTATGCAGAACGGCCTAGAATTCATTCCTGGTTCTGTCCGTGTACCAAATTGCCACCAATTCGCTAATTCCCATAAAATACGATTTAAACAGATAAATTCTAGGCTCGGCTCGACATGGGCGAGACGCCACTGATCCGATCCATCACCTTCGTTTCGGCATTTGTGTTTCACTGTTCGCTGGAAGGGTTCGCGTTTGGGATACAGGTAATATTTACTTGACATTGACCTTTCAAAAATATACTTGACGATCATATTTTTTATTAATGCGATGATGAATACTTTATACATGTTTAGAAATGGTTAGATCCCTGTAAAAATGTATACAAAAAATATACAAAACCGTATCTCCAATTCTTAGATTGCAGTGTTTCAAAATATTTGCTAGATGGTGTTTAGTTAGAATGGTTAATCAGTTACGCAAAATATCTCCTAGCTAACTTTCAGGTGTTGATGTTAATCGCATTGAACGTCTTTGCGGAATATTATTTTTACTGAAAACTCGGCAAAACATGGTTTTTACTGTAAAGTTCATAAATCGAAATAAAAAGGAAATAACTATGATATTTTGAATGGATCAATAAATTCTTGGCAATTGTCTCATAGTTATTTCGATTTCAATGATTCAAAATATCTCGTATCTGGCTTCCGGGCTAACAACGTTAGTGTCGATCGAATATTCCTGAATTTGCCCAATCTTATTACCGTGATGATCTCCTGAATAAATATATATTCTTAGCATTAAATTTATAAAAATAAATCCAAAATAAGTATAATACTTTCAGCATTTTGGCGTCGAAATCATCGAAATTAGCCGGAAACCACAAATGTAGAAATCTTTTATTTTTTTCAGGAAGACACCGTGTCCATCACTTCACTATTTGCCGGCATCATGCTGCACAAGGTATCGGTATAAGCTATTACTTAACTCTCCGTCCATTAAAGGAAATATGTTTTATTAAATTCTATGGCTATCGAGATTTTTTCAAAGTCAGTTCGACCGACACGCAAACGAGTTTATTTCGTAAAGAACGAATAGTTTCGGCCATAATAGTAATTTATTTATTTATTTTATTGCCATTTATTGTTTTTTATTTCCTGTTCTAGCATATCCATGGTGATTTGATTAGTTTTGTTGAGTTTTGCGAACTCTAATCGACAGGGGGTTTTGGAAAAATCAGGTTTCATTGAATGCTAGTGCGACTTTGAAACGATTCGAACACCAGTGTTTTCTCCATTTACTATTATTTGTATTTTTAAGTTTTTGCTCGTATTTTCTGCAAAAATATTTGATTAATCAAACTCCTAGAATTAAATCATTAACTTGTATTTTAACTTTCATTTCAATTTAATCGAGACCGACCTTGGAAAATTTCGTCAAAGCGTTGTGTTAGCAAATGGTTGGCGCTTGTAATGTTGCATAACTTCTTTTTGGTCGAAAAAAGTTTTTGTACATTTCATTACTTTTAATGACGTTATATTATAAATGTTAAATTTCATGACATTAAATAATTCAGTGCGTGGTGTTCTTCTCGATCGGGGTACGGCTGGTGAAGGCACATGGACAACGGACGTTCGTCGTCGTCGGCCTGATCGTATTTGTGGCAATTACGGCACCGTTGGGAGGAGCTATCGGGATTATTGTTAAGGTATGAGAAGCTTAGTATGTACAAAATTATATAATTATCAAATTGGCGATATGCAGATTCGGCATTAAAGCGATTCCACGTGAATTTTTTAGATACACCGAGTTGAAAAAATAATGAGATTACGTTGAGCTGCTTTTCCCTTATCTGGTACCAGATGGTTACAGTCGCTTCGCGACTGCAACCATCTGGCCTTCGGGCTACCCTAGATATCCCACTCCACCACATCCTTTCCCACCTCCATCAATACCCCCCATAGCCGAAATCCCGTTCAAAAACTACCTAAATACCTTCCTGATGGCTTCAGGTACCCCCCATGGCTGAAATCCCCTTCAAAAACTACCTAAATACCTTCCTGATGGCTTCAGGTACCCCCCATGGCTGAAATCCCCTTCAAAAACTACCTAAATACCTTCCTGATGGCTTCAGGTACCCCCCATGGCTGAAATCCCCTTCAAAAACTACCTAAATACCTCCCATGGCTGAAATCCCCTTCAAAAACTACCTAAATACCTCCCATGGCTGAAATCCCCTTCAAAAACTACCTAAATACCTCCCATGGCTGAAATCCCCTTCAAAAACTACCTAAATACCCCCCATGGCTGAAATCCCCTTCAAAAACTACCTAAATACCTTCCCGATGGCTTCAGATACCCCCAATAGCCGAAATCCCCTTCAAAAACTGCTTAGATTCCATCCCGATACTTTAAATGATTTAAATAATAAATTAACATAATTAAAAAGTATTAAAAGTATTAAAGTAACTTAAAAAGCTATTTTGGCGCGGGAAAGGGCCTCGGGAAGAAGGGCGAAGGAAAAGGGGGCGTGGCCTCCCGGGGAGAGGGCCCCCACTCGTTTTATTAAGGCGCCACTTTCAAAGTTAATTTTAATAATTTAAACTAAAAGTTTTTCGTAATTTTTTTATCAGTTTGGGGGTTTCTGACCACGCTCTATCCGAATCCGAAGAGAGCTAAGCTCTAGCTCCTTTCCCCTTCGAGTTGAATTCGGCTTCAGACACACAGACGTCTTTACTTTTTTATTATAGTTGATTCCTGGTTTCACTAAGCATTTTATTTTCTCCTTTTAAGTGTTATTTTTTGAAACATTTTTCTTTTCTATCGCCCCCGATTCCAAATGCATTTTTGCCGCTCCCGCTACACGCAGCGCCCCGTAACGCGCAGTGATTTGTGTCCGTATCCGATACGCAATCCAGAGAGTGCGCATTACGGCAAAATGCATACAGATTCTAAGAACAACAGAATATATGAAATACTAGATAACTGAACCGTGCTTTATTTAAAACTCATCTTTTTGCAGGACTCAAAAATCAACACGACCGCGAAGGATGTGTCAATGTTGGTGCTGAGCTGTCTGTCGCTCGGCACATTTCTCTACATTACATTTTTTGAAGTGCGTTTGAACTACTGCCCACTAAAACTTGTTATTCCAATAATTAATTGACTCACGTGAATTTTGGCCAAAAAAATCAGGTCCTGAGCTTAGCTTGCAAAGGCCAAAGGTATAGGAAATACGCGAGTGAAATCTAGCATAATTACCCAAGTCAATGTTACATCTTACGCTGAATCGGCGCAAAATTTTACAAAGATGTTCGAGGTGAATGGGGTCTTGTGAGAGACAAGCGCCTGCTAATTCTTTCTTCTGTATACTTTCCTGCTGGTTTCAAATTTTTCGTAGTAAGGCCCTTTAACGAAATATAAGTACACAAGTACATAAAAAAATATCAGCTTTTGCAAAATTCTGGACTTTTCGGGTAAATGTCTTAAGAATGCTACGGCTAAAATCTGGAAATTTTCGAATTTATAGATATTTGTTATGCGTACATAGAACATAAAAACTACTAAAAAGCTTATAAAAATGAACCTGTCTGGAGATGCCAAGAATATAAATTGAGTTCCCCGCGCTGATAGGCCTAACCCGATATGGCAACTTACCAACAAATTGTATGTTACGCAGAAAACGAACGGTTGCCGTAACAAATTGGTTTTAATTCTTGCCTTCTCCCAAACCCTTAAATTTTCAGATATATTTATTACATGAAAATATAGTTCCTGAATAGAAATATGAACTATTTAAATACACAAATTAATAACATAAATTCAGTTGCTGGGCCCGGAAAAGGAGAATCGACACGCGAATTTCGTGCAGTGGCTCGGGGCGCTGGCCGGGTTCGCCATTATCGGAGTCGTCATGGTGTTTGCTGGATAAATTTGATTTATTCAACCTATTGCATTATTATGCTGATATTTCGCGTATAAAGCCTATCAAAAATTTGAAAAAAAGTTAGGGCAACAACGCAAAGCATAAATTTATCGAGCCGAAAATAGCGTAATTGGTCAGTTTTCTAGGTGAAACATGATATTTCATGTCCAAAATCGTGCTTTCTTTTGGTTGAAACCAGTCCGGAATAAATCGAAAATTTAGTTTTTATGGCTGAAACCAGTCCGGAATAAGTCGAAAATTGTGTTTGTATGGTCGAAACCAGTCCGGAAAAAGTCTAAACCGGTCCGGAAAAAGTCGAAGCCAGTCCGGAAAAAGTCGAAACCAGTCCGGAAAAAGTCGAAACCAGTCCGGAAAAAGTCGAAACCAGTCCGGAAAAAGTCGAAACCAGTCCGGAAAAAGTCGAAACCAGTCCGGAAAAAGTCGAAACCAGTCCGGAAAAAGTCGAAACCAGTCCGGAATAAGTCGAAACTTGTGTTTTTATGGTTGAAACCAGTCCGGAAAAAGTCGAAACCAGTCCGGAATAAGTCGAAACCAGTCCGGAATAAGTCGAAACCAGTCCGGAAGAAGTCGAAACCGGTCCGGAAAAAGTCGAACCAGTCCGGAAAAAGTCGAAACCAGTCCGGAAAAAGTCGAAACCAGTCCGGAAAAAGTCGAAGCCAGTCCGGAAAAAGTCGAAACCAGTCCGGAAAAAGTCGAAACCAGTCCGGAAAAAGTCGAAACCAGTCCGGAATAAGTCGAAACCAGTCCGGAAAAAGTCGAAACCAGTCCGGAAAAGTCGAAACCAGTCCGGAATAAGTCGAAACCAGTCCGGAAAAAGTCGAAACCAGTCCGGAAAAAGTCGAAACCAGTCCGGAAAAAGTCGAAACCAGTCCGGAAAAAGTCGAAACCAGTCCGGAAAAAGTCGAAACCAGTCCGGAATAAGTCGAAAATTGTGTTTTTATGGTTGAAACCAGTCCGGAAAAAGTCTAAACCAGTCCGGAATAAGTCGAAACCAGTCCGGAATAAGTCGAAACCAGTCCGGAAGAAGTCGAAACCGGTCCGGAAAAAGTCGAACCAGTCCGGAAAAAGTCGAAACCAGTCCGGAATAAGTCGAAAATTGTGTTTTTATGGCTGAAACCAGTCCGGAAAAAGTCGAAACCAGTCCGGAATAAGTCGAAAATTGTGTTTTTATGGTTGAAACCAGTCCGGAAAAAGTCGAAACCAGTCCGGAAAAAGTCGAAACCAGTCCGGAAAAAGTCTAAACCAGTCCGGAAAAAGTCTAAACCGGTCCGGAAAAAGTCGAAACCAGTCCGGAAAAAGTCGAAACCAGTCCGGAAAAAGTCTAAACCAGTCCGGAAAAAGTCTAAACCGGTCCGGAAAAGTCGAAACCAGTCCGGAAAAAGTCGAAACCAGTCCTGAAAAAGTCGAAACCAGTCCGGAGTCGAAACCAGTCCGGAAAAAGTCGAAACCAGTCCGGAAAAAGTCGAAACCAGTCCAGAAAAGTCGAAACCAGTCCGGAAAAGTCGAAACCAGTCCGGAATAAGTCGAAACCAGTCCGGAATAAGTCGAAAATTGTGTTTTTATGGTTGAAACCAGTCCGGAATAAGTCGAAACCAGTCCGGAAAAAGTCGAAACCAGTCCGGAAAAAGTCGAAACCAGTCCGGAAAAAGTCGAAACCAGTCCGGAAAAAGTCGAAACCAGTCCGGAAAAAGTCGAAACCAGTCCGGAATAAGTCGAAAATTGTGTTTTTATGGTTGAAACCAGTCCGGAAAAAGTCGAAACCAGTCCGGAATAAGTCGAAAATTGTGTTTTTATGGTTGAAACCAGTCCGGAAAAAGTCGAAACCAGTCCGGAAAAAGTCGAAACCAGTCCGGAAAAGTCTAAACCAGTCCGGAAAAAGTCTAAACCGGTCCGGAAAAAGTCGAAACCAGTCCGGAAAAAGTCGAAACCAGTCCGGAAAAAGTCTAAACCAGTCCGGAAAAAGTCTAAACCGGTCCGGAAAAGTCGAAACCAGTCCGGAAAAAGTCGAAACCAGTCCGGAAAAAGTCGAAACCAGTCCGGAAAAAGTCGAAACCAGTCCGGAATAAGTCGAAAATTGTGTTTTTATGGTTGAAACCAGTCCGGAAAAAGTCGAAACCAGTCCGGAATAAGTCGAAAATTGTGTTTTTATGGTTGAAACCAGTCCGGAAAAAGTCGAAACCAGTCCGGAAAAAGTCGAAACCAGTCCGGAAAAAGTCTAAACCAGTCCGGAAAAAGTCTAAACCGGTCCGGAAAAAGTCGAAACCAGTCCGGAAAAAGTCGAAACCAGTCCGGAAAAAGTCTAAACCAGTCCGGAAAAAGTCTAAACCGGTCCGGAAAAGTCGAAACCAGTCCGGAAAAAGTCGAAACCAGTCCTGAAAAAGTCGAAACCAGTCCGGAGTCGAAACCAGTCCGGAAAAAGTCGAAACCAGTCCGGAAAAAGTCGAAACCCGTCCAGAAAAAGTCGAAACCAGTCCGGAAAAAGTCGAAACCAGTCCGGAATAAGTCGAAACCAGTCCGGAATAAGTCGAAAATTGTGTTTTTATGGTTGAAACCAGTCCGGAAAAAGTCGAAGCCAGTCCGGAAAAAGTCAAAACCAGTCCGGGAAAAGTCGAAACCAGTCCTGAAAAAGTCGAAACCAGTCCGGAATAAGTCGAAACCAGTCCGGAATAAGTCGAAACCAGTCCGGAAAAAGTCGAAACCAGTCCAGAAAAAGTCGAAATTCGGCTCGCCGACAGCCAATTCGCCCAGAAACTCGACCAGCGTGTTGTCGTTCTTGAGCTTGAAGCTGCCCAACGGCAAGCGACGATTGTGAAAAATACATATTTTTGATGAAGTTTAAGGACCATTCCGATACCTATAAACTCAATAAACTTTTTAATAGCATTTAAGAAGCTTCCGGGCTCAAACGTATTTTTAACCTTTTTCTGGCTACGGTATTCTATTATATTCAAACGGTATAATTTGTTCTTGACGTAATATTGGGTCCGTTATGGTAGCGAAACCAGCGAGCTAGCAGAGATCTTTGGTGAAAGCTAAGACAGCGGGAACACAATATTGAGCCATATTTTTTCCGGTCCCTGCAAAATTGTTAAATACCTCTTTTTAAATTTAAATTAGATGACAATCAATTATTTGATACGATACTAATTAATTAATACCAATTAATTACGATACCAATTAATTAATAAACCTCTTCCAGCAATCAAAAAATTGTGAAACACATTGTGATCAAATTTAAGGGCAATTCCAATGCCTAATTATGCCTAAGCAGAAAGCCTTTTAATAGGATTAAGAACTTTTTGGGTTCAAAATCCATTTTAGTTTTTTTTTGTTCTGACTACGGTATTCGATTATATTCCGAAGGTATAATATTTTTGGAACACAATATTGGACAGACAAAACAGCAAAATTGGAATTTGGCCTTTTTGGGGGGCCACTTTCAGCGACCAGTCTCTGTACCCAAAATTGCAATAAAAGTGGGGAGAGAGAGAGAGAGAGAGAGAGAGAGAGAGAGAGAGAGAGAGATACAATGGCAATCCCAGCTTTATTTGTCTAACCATTCAAAACCCACCCAGAAAGTCAGCCACCAAAAAAAGTACATGAAAATAGGTAAGCCAGATTTATTATGGGATTTACCAGACAGTGAAACATAACATAACTTGGTCGTTTGGCTGTGACAAATAAAAACAAAATCTCGGGGTTAATTGGAAAGTTGCGGAATATTTAAGCCAGCCGGTGCCCAGGGGAAGTATCGGAACATTTTCCGGCAAATTCCACACCCCCGGCTTCAGCGATGGTAAGCTTACCTTTTTTGAAGAAGACTATAGGAAACCGAAAAATTAATTTAATATACCTACAAACCTAGCTAAACATCGATATTTATTACAAAAATTACCCTTAGTTTTTCCGATTTTTTAAAACCATCAGTTCACTTCTTTTGACAAAAATGAAGAAAAAAAGATGGATAATTCTCCCTAACAAGGAGTCGTTTTTAGGTGATATTGGAGTTTTTGAACGAGACCTAGCTAGTTCGATAGAGAAAAAAATTCTGAACAAGATGTCGGTTTCCAAATCTGCTAACCGTGTATTGTATTCAATAAAAATTAATTTTAATGAAAAAATTCCTGGACGTCAGGCTGCGACCCATGGATCAGGCCCGGGACATAGCCCACAGCGCGAACCAGCATCCGCATGAGATCGTGGCCTAGTGGATAGTGTCGGCGCCTATCAAACTTTTGCAAAATTATGCCCAGGGTTCGGAACTTTTTGCGATTTATTGTTTTGCTTTTTGGTTTTTCATGCCATTGAAATCGAATTTGGCATTATCGAGCAAAAAGCAAAAGAGTTTTACTAGCGAGGAGTCGAACCCGCTGGCAAAAAACAAAAACTTATGAAGCAAGCGCACTACCAATAGGCCAGCTGGTCATGGCTGGAGGGAGGCCTAAAGGGGGCTATGTTGACGCGCACCCAGAGCGCCGAATCTGTGGATCAGGCGGAAAATGACGGTTAGATTAAACATTTTCAAATTAATTTTTATTGGACAGCGTACACGGTTAGCAGATTTGGAAAACGACAGCTTGTTCAGAATTTTTTTCTCTATCGAACTAGCTAGGTCTCGTTCATAAACTCCAATATCACCTAAAAACGACACCAGATCACCAGATATTATGTTATTGTATGAAATTTGAAACATTTCTGGTTCAGAAACATTTTAAATTTACTAAAATACCACCAAATTTTATTCTACATTATTAATCTACCCTGTACATAAGTAAAAACTACTGCTAGGTACTTGTGGTTTCGTGGCATTCTAGAGCAAAATCCGTAGCATGCGCTAATATTTTTTTCACTTTGACCGATCCAATTGATCGACTTTGAGCCGACTTTGAGCTAAAATAAACATAACTTAAAGCATTTTTATTTTTTTATATTCCGAAAAAGCGATGAAAAACAATTGCGATTCCAGAGGGTTTCGGTTACTT